GGGGTCGGTGCTACTATTTCTCCTGGGAGACGCAATGTGCGACCTAAAGTCAACTCTGCCGGTGTGGACTGCAGATCAGCTTTGAAGGCTGATCTGCAACCTAAGAGGGCTAAGAGTAAAGACTCCTTCCAGTCTGGGTTCGCCTGCGCTGCCAGAGCACTTTTCAGTTGTGGATGAAAAAGCTTGACCATGCCGTTGGCTGCCAGCTGGTAAGCGGTCGTTTAAACGCGGCGAATGCCTAGGTGCCTAAGTAGTTGTGCAAAAACACCCTCGAAATGATAACCTCGATCGGTTGTAACTACTGCTGGACAACCGAAACTAGCTATTCAACCCTCTACGAAGGTTTTGCCGCTGCTTCGCTGGATGCGGAAAACAAAGGAGCAGCTACCGTCCACCGGGTGAAATGGTCTATACAGGTAAGTATATAGATACACTCTTTCGATGGCGGCAGGGGTCTCACTAATTCTACGTGGACGTTCGTCGACCACGGGGAACGAGCTTAGTGAGCTCTTTGTGTGACGAATAATTTTGTTTCATTGGCAGGATAAGCACTGGCGTGTCCATTGGCGTATGTCCTTTTTTATATTATGCCACACGAAACGATCATTGATGGGTTTCACTGAGTCGCGGATGCCTGGGTGTGAGCAGTGTTGCAGATGTTGACACACGGGGTTAGTTGAAGAATTAGTGTGTCTTTGAAGTGAAGCATGCCTCGTCGCTAGGAGAGACTTTCTTTTCATTGAATCAGGTAATCTTGGATGAGACGGACCCGGATTGTGCCTAAGTACCGGATCCCTTTTTGGATGCCTTTGCGGTGATGGGCCAAGAGTTACTAAGTTGTTGTCTTGCAATTTAGAAAGAGTATCAGTGTTGCGTTCCAAGCTTGGAGATGACAAGGATAATTTTGCGAATTTTCTAGTATTCAGTCGGGGCCCAATGGGCACCGAAAGGGTGTCAGGTCAGGTCAGGTCAGGTCAGGTCAGGTCAGGTCAGGTCAGGTCAGGTCAGGTCAGGTTGCACAGGACTGATAGTGGCCACAGGCCAATCACGCGTCCAGAATTCCTTCGGTGGTAGGCCAGCGAGTGTGCGTCCACCTCTGCGATTGATCAGTTTCTCCTTCTATCTGCAACAGAGAGAAAGAGAAACTTTACTTCTCGCCGCGTCGGCGAGAGAGGGTGTAATAACTAATTGTCGGGTTGAGCAATCACTTACACTATTCTGGTTTATATTTTGATGATTCGTAGGAGATTCACTGAGTTTGGCTGAAGGATGCTGGCGTTTGCTAGGAGGATCCACTGTTGAGGGTGAAATCGTTTTATCCAAGTCAACTGTAGTAACCGGTGTTCGTATTACTGGAGACTGACGTTAGTACAAGGTGGAAATTGGGTTTCTTAGTCTAGGAGTAAGAGATGAGCATTCTGAACTCATACTACAAAGGATAGTTATTAGATGATCAAGCGATCTCCCTTGAATCTTTATTTATTTAAACTGCGATAAATTCGCTACAGTAGTCTGTTTTCGGGCGAATTACTTAGCTACTTGTTCATCCTGGAATTGAAAAAGCAGGAAACAAGCGTAATTCTGCGTTCTTTTTCGCAGCCTGAAGCGATTACATGAAGCCTGTAACGTGTTTACGGATTGTAGGATTTTGATTTTCACCTCAGAAAGGTTAAGGTGGACAGGTACGTTAAAAACCACAGCATTCTGTGCATTTTGCAAGCGTCTCATTACCTCAGTAGAGAATGAGTCGAGAAACTGGCTGGCTGCAATTATACTCTGTGAACCAGTGAGTGTCGTGGGGTCGCTTATGTACGCAAGGGGGCTAGTTTTGCCGTAGTTTTCAGAAGAAGATAGCTGATTTGTTAACTTAATTAGATTAGTATCAATAATCTTAGTTCTTTTACTACCCTCCTTTATTGTTTTCTTTAAATCAGTCATTTTCCGAGAGTTTGTTGCCTAAGGTAAGACTCCTAGTCTTAAAAGATCTTTTACGAGAAGGTGAATGTATCTTTTATGCAAGTGGATTATCGACGGGACTACCGGGTATCTTTGCAGAAGTAGTCTGTGCTATATGAATGTCGATAAACTACAGAAACAAGATGAATGGTTACGGGACAATATAACTACTTCAGTTCCGTTTTCACAGGACAAATATGGCTCTTGCCGATCGAGCGTCCAGTTCGTTGTGTTGTCGGCGGATGGGGGTAGCTTCCAACACTGCGTACAGTTGACTACGTGTTTGTGATCCTTTCAATTTTGCCCCGTTGCCAAAACGTTGACTCCTTGGGGTATGCTGAAAGGGAGGAAATCAAGCAGGGATATCTCCTCACCTCATTGGTTAGAGACCTCAGGTACACATGCGTGCGTATACACAGATCACATGTGATAGAACAGTCAGTTTTAGAGTAATTATAACAGTCAAGCCCGGGTTTGCGCCATTTCAAAGCTTCCGGCTAAAGTAGAATTTATTCCTTATGTTCCTACTCTAAATACTAACTTCGGGGACCGTTGCTGACCAACAAGCGTCCAGGGTCACTTTGAGGGCGTAAACATTGATGCAGTTGACCACTTCTGCGGTTAGCCTGTTCTACATAGGTATGACCCCATGTGCGAAGAAGTTGGCCTGTACTTCCAACCTGGCGTGGTTCTCCTGAAGTGTATAGCCATGACCTCTCGAGTTCTGAGCACGAAAAATCGTAAACAAGTCGTCTAGTTTGAGTCCTGATAGACTTCTTACAATTTAGAAAGTCTCTGTCAGATCTCAGGTCAGGTCAGGTCAGGTCGCACTGGAATGATGATGACCACGGCCAACCGAGCGTCCAGATTTCTTCCGGCAGCATGTTCACAAGGTGTGACCACACTGTACATCAACCAATTCGCACTTGAGTGACGCGTAGGCAAACCGATATGAATCCCGAATTAAAAATACAATTGATCCGCAATGTTCTACGGTACTGATTTAACGAAATCCATAAAAAAGTACAATAAGGCAAACCTCAAATATGCGGCCGAGAGCACTCAAGCCAGTCCGTTTCGACTGCTAGACATCTTTTTTCATTTTAACGGCTAGTCCCCACGTTACGTTTCACGTATTTTCTCATTTCTCTTCACTTCAAACGACTAAAAGGGTCGCAAAATATCCAAAACCGTAACAACGAAAAAATTCGAAACACCAAAAAGTGTTCTTTTTGTGGTTCTGTCGTGCTATCTTCTCCCCCCCAACTCCTCCCTTCTACCAAGAGCCATAGCGCTGTTAAGTTAGCCGTTTCTCCTTCTCTTCCCGGGTATTGCACACGAATGTGCACCTCCGAAGATCGCTGCACGTCAACCAATTCGCAATTGAGTGACGCGTAGCCGAACGCATACGAATCCCGAAGTAAAAACACAATTGAACGCGATGTTCTACGGTACTGATTTAACGAATTCACTAAAAAATGTACAATAAAGCAAACCTCAAATATGCGGCCGACAGCACTCAAGCAAGCGAGCCAAATACGATTTCCAGAGAGAGGCAAACAGTCGCTCCCGTTCTCAAACCACGCAAAATTCAAATGTGCCGGGCATTGAACTAATAGATAGATTATGATGTATGGTGTTTGTGATCGAGAAATGTCAATATGGGAGCAACACACAGATAAAGTTATTTCACCACAAATCATTATGGATTCGGAAGGATTTTCAAGAATTCAGCATGAAATACAGTCGCACCTCCTGGAACCATATAACTTCCGGATCGGGGAACGCGGGTGAGAGGAGTGGGGTGTTTGGGGTAAAGAGGTCACTTCTATTCCACCGTCGGACGCTCTTCGGGTTTTGGCCGGCCGGGTCTTTTTTCTGGTTTGCCGCGGCCAGTTTTTTTATCGACCAGGCAACCCGCGCGGGTCGCCCCATACACCTGTCAGAAGATAAATTATTGTGTCGGTGGTAATGGGGCTACGAGCGATTCATTCCATGTCCTGCAGCATCCCTTGGTATCTTCTCTTCACCGCACGTACAACAACTGGTATTTATCCCTTAATCAAGGATAGCATTACACTGTCAGCTGCCGAACTGGAATGTTTTCCAACTGCGTACCGACTGGCTCCGAAATTGGCTCGCACAGTATTCTCTATGGTCGAAACACCCACAAGCAACCGATACGCTCACAGTACACGAACGTGGACTCGAATTGGTCTCAATTGCAATTCCTATACCCTGGCCTCCGATTACACCCAACTGCAAGTCCTGTTACCTGGCCCAGACGGATATCAACAGCCAGTTTTGTAACCTGTCCTGCTTTTCCTGAACCTGCACATCACGGTTTGGCGATTGCCGCACCTGTTTCCGTACTGCCAGCCTTTGAACTGCACACACATGCACACCTATCTGCGTTGACCATTTTACCCCAGCGACCACAACATACTGGTTTACCATTGTACCCTCATATACTACACAATCATTCGCGTTCACCTACACACACATCGTGTTCAATTGACTATTCGAAGGTTTGTCGCTCCTCACCAATCTTCTAGGGGGGGAGCTGTGTAGTAACATTATTTTCACTTTCCAACGCCATTCCCCCGATTCATGTGAAGACCTTATTTTGTTTTATTCTTCTCGGGTTCCAGAACTGGCATGACCTTGATTTTGGCACAATTTCCGGTGAGTTGTATCGTGCGCTTGGCTCTTTGTACACTTTCCGCTGCAGGTCACATTATACTACATAGGCTCGTACCCGACTTCCTTCTCAATTCGCGCTTCCTCTGGGAATCATTCAATAAGCCTGATTGATTGGATTCGTAAACGCGTGTCAACTTCGGCCCTACCTAGTGTGCTAAACTGTCAAGTGAATCCCACTGATACACCCCAGTCCATTTTTCCTCTTGATATATATGTCTATATTTATATATAAATATATATTTGTACAGTTTCGGGCATTAAACTTCTCTGCATATTCGTTCGCAACATGCTGTTTTACCCCCTCTTATCGGCTGGGTATTTCCCCGGACTGCCGAGTTTCGCTTTTTTGTTTCAGATTCGGTTGGCTTGGGCCTGCCGAAGGCTTGGGGTCTACACCCACAGTGGCTCCGGNTCCAACGTTTAGACTACATGCGTCTGCATTCCGGACCACGTTGAGAATCACACCCGCTGCCTCACATACAAGGTGTCTTAAGGTTGGGTGTCTAGCGTGTAGTCAGTCCCACATCAAAGCTACCAACGCCTAAATAACATAAATAATATAAACCAGTAATCCGTTAACGGTGAAGCTTCGAAGCCCTTTACTCCTTGTTCCAGAATTAAGTCCATCTGTCTCGATCCTTGGAACAGTTCATTTATGATCCACTTGTCGTCCTACTGTATTCCATTGCACTTCCTTTGTTCGACCGCAGCTGTTTCTCTGAAATTCTAAAGCTTTCACGTTCACTACCTTCCTACTATTCTCCAAACTCTTTTCAGCGCATTATCCCCGAGCGGTTATTTTTACCTCCAGTTCTGTCTTTCTCAATGTTCTTCATATGACAGTCGTTTACATTGATGTGGTCTGCATATCAGATCGCCCTCAGTACTGCATTCTTGCCCGCTTTGTGTTCCTTTTTCACGGCAATGCGTTAGTTCATTTCAGTTCAGTTTGCACAGGACGAATACGGCTCTTGCCAATCAAGCGCCCAGTTCGTTGTGTTGTCGGCGGAGTAGCTTACAACAATGCGTACAGTTGAGTGGGAATTTGTGATCCTCTCACTTCAGCCCTGTATCCAGAACGTTGTCTCCTCCGGAGTATGCTGAAAGGGAGGAAAACAAGCAAGGATATCTCTTCACCTCATTGGTTAGAGACCTCGAATAAACATGCTTTAGTATACATGTGAGAGGATAGTCAGGTTTTATGAGTTCAACACTCAAGCCCAAGTTTATATCATTCCACTTCTGGCTAACGTAGAATTTACTCTTAATGTTTCCAGTCTGAGTATCAACTTCGGGGAACGTTGCTGAACAACATGCGTCCAGGGCCTCCTTGAAGATGTTAACACTGGCGCACTTGACCACTTCTGCGGGTTACCTGTTCCACATAGGTATGACCCTGAAGCTAAGCGGTGTTGACGGCCTGCCGGTAAGTCTTCTTACTAGTCTCAAAGTGCGCGCGACCTCCTACTGTCTCGTTGCCCGAGGTAGACAAAAACAATCGTGGAAGTCCTGAACGATGATTTGCGAATCGCGGCACTAGACATTACCAAAAAGTGCCAAGGTGACGCTAAACAATACAAGCAATAAATGCAGTAGCAAAGCGGAAGCATGTCACACGTGTTTTGTGGGTTTGAACAGGTTCGAACGGAAAACGTCCTCAAGGATTACTCCTTTTCTTCATACAACTATGGTCACTACAGAAGCCTCCCGCTAGAAAGCAAGCAAAAGCTTTCGATTCAAAAACGAGTTTGAAAAGCGGGCAATCGTTAGCGTTTGGCCGTGCTGCCAGACATGGACTGGCAGAATCGTTGGTGTGTGGACTGTTTTGCGTCAGTCGAACATCGACCAGATTCGATGCATCGGATGTCAGTATGGGAACCATGGTGACGTATCCTTAATCGTTCATTGGATGATTCACTCCATCGCTCTGTCATGATTGCTGATGGTAAAATGAGCTTGCTCTGTATCTAAAGTGATAAAAGCATACACAGTATGATGGATATTGAAGATAACGGTGACGAGCACAACGCGAGTATGAAACGTCAGAAATCGAACATACGCTGTTTCATTAGCACAAATGACCACGAGATTATTATTATTATTATCATGCTGCGGTAAAACGAAATTCTGCTTAATTCAAAGAGTTTCCATGGTGATTAGGACAGTCAAAGAGAACAATGAATGACTCACGATAAAACACGCACTAGACCCAGTAGAATGGGATACTGAGTACGACACGGTTCCGACTATTTTGTGTTCAAATATTTAGGCATGTTGACAGATGGTGAATTGGAAGCATACCAGGGCACTAGGTTGATAAGGCAGATATTTATCAATGACTTAGGCATGGCTGATTCGTGATATTCATCTTAGAAACTGGGAGGATAATAGAAGCAGCAGTAACCACCGGTCACAGATGTGGATTTTCAGTTTATGTCGGTACATTGAGTCGGTAAATTGAGTCCATCCTCGGCCTGAACGCCTTGCAGAAGTTAAAGGACCTGTACCAATACATCCCTGCAAAGTACCAACTGTTCATGCCCAGCAGCATTGGCCGACCACGAGTAGTCCCACCAAACAACCCTCCAGATTAAAAGTTGTTGGTCGCCAGCAGTCAGGCCCAACGTCGCGTTGCTGATTGTCACACGATAATGAGAACCGTGAAAAGTGCTATTTCATCAAAGAACCAGAAGACTATGTCAGTACTTGCAGAACCGTTGAAAAAATATCCTACTGAAGTGGGAGAATACCGTGCGCCCCAACAGCAAAAGAAGATCGGTGAAACCGGCCAAAATTGCGAAGGTCGACAACATCAGTGCAATGTGTCACTTAGGCAAGCGATTCAGCAGATAAGTGACAACAAATTCATATAATACATGGGAAGGATTCTGCTAGTGCGAACGATGAATTCACTGATACAGCATTTCCATGTACAGCAACGCAAAAACAAAATCCGGTACTCCTGAACTGCCTGCTAAAGAAACTGGTAAAATTGACTAAGAAACTCAGTATGTTACATGTAATATTTATTTCTATGATTTTCTAAACAGAACTAACTGAATCCACAGATCGTCTTGGTTCTACATAACTTTGCGCTATTCAGTGGGTTTTCACTCCGATACCAAGTTCGAGCTTTTCGATTTCGTTTCCAATTCCAAATATTACCGGAGGCCAACACGTTTAGAAAACTGCAGTCACCATCGACACTGGACGTAGTGTTGACCAATGACAAACTGATGGTAGAATCTCACAATGTGACTAACCCCCTAGAACGCAGAGATAACGCAGTACTCACATTCAACTATGTTTTTACGCTTCTATTCAAGGAAGTTCCCCAGGTGATAGGCCCAGATTCATGGACTACACACTGTTGAACAACCCAGTGCTCTATACTCACTCTACTATCTCACTCACCTCATGGGTTTGACAGCGATCAATGATGTTAGCTCCACTTTATCACTTCGTTACAATGATGAATGATGATGATCACCCTCGTTAGTTGGTACACTGAGAAACGGAAAAGCAAAAAAGCGATTTACTCACACCTTCTGATCAATGAGTGGACGTTCAGAACTGTTTATCATATTCAACCGTTATCGTCCAAATCAGTACACTTTGTCCTAAGGATAGAGTCTCTATCTGAATAATTCATCCCGCATTCAATGCTCAAAAGCGTTTATTCCAGGCAGTACCCCTACCAAGACTAACAGCCAAGCGAGAAACGCAACTGAACAGGGTAACTGGAAGAAAGTCGTAATCAAGAAGACGCTCAATCTAAATGGTAACCTACGGATGACCGCCTGGAAACTAGAGTAAAAAAGATCCACCTTGAAATGGATCAAACAATATGAAATACCCTGGCTGTACAAAAGAAAACGGTCGGTTGAGGTTTAGTCGACAATTGGCATATATCTTAACCGGAATATCCCTAAGATTACCGTCCGACTTATTAACTCTTGATAAGTAATCTTGCTTAGTATTGTTGCAATAGAGTCAGGTGAATGGGATACTGAGTACGACACGGTTCCGACTATTTTGTGTTCAAATATTTAGAAATAACCGAGCACAGGCATGTTGACAGATGGTGAATTGGAAGCATACCAGGGCACTAGGTTGATAAGGCAGATATTTATCAATGACTTAGGCATGGCTGATTCGTGATATTCATCTTAGAAACTGGGAGGATAATAGAAGCAGCAGTAACCACCGGTCACAGATGTGGATTTTCAGTTTATGTCGGTACATTTTTCGAACATCAATTCTGTCGGCTGATTGACCGGCATCCACTATACAAACACATGAAGGAGGCCAACCGGTTTGGAAACCTACAGTCACCATCGATGCTGGATGTACTGTTAACCAATGACAAACTGATGGTAGAATCTCACAATGTGAATAACCTCCCAGAACGCAGATATTACGCAGTTTTCACACTCGACTATGTTTTTACGCTTCTATTCAAGGAAGTTCCCCATGTATTACGCGCAGATTCGTAGACTACACAATGTTGAACAACTTAGTGCTCTCTACTCAGTGGGCTTCCTATGACGAAAAACCTAATCCGTCTGTTGCCTGGCCAAAACATTTATTGTCAGTCTTGCAAACCT